CAGAAAAAGACCAAAAAATGGCCAGAATCAATATTGCTTTATTTCAGGGGCGCCTGGGTGGCTCAGGTGTTAAGCATCTGCCTTTGGCTCAGGTCGCATCAGGCTCCCTGCTCCGCAGGAAGCCTGCTTCTCCCTCTCCCACTCCCCCTGCTTGTGTTCCCTCTCTCGCTGTCTCTCTCTCTCTCAAATAAATAAATAAAACCTTAAAAAAAAAATTTAAAAATATATATTACTTTATTTCAGACTCAGAGGAAAGATGCAAGAATAATACAGAGAACTCTCATACACCCTTTCACACGTTCATTTCTGTTAGCCTTTTGTCATATTCAGTTGTTTCTGTGTGTGTGTGTGTGCACGTGCGTGTGCGCCTGCCTGTGTACATATTTTTTCCAAACCATTTGTGTTGCATGCATCATGCCCCCATGTCCCTTAATATTTGTGTATCTTGTAAGAAGGATATTCCCTTACAATCCACAATTCCATTATGAACTTCAGTTAATTTAACAATATATATACAATAGTTTAATCTACCATCCATATTCTAGCTTTGTCAGTTGATCCAGTAATGTCCTTCATATCTGGAATAGTCTCTAAGCCTTTTTTTGTTTGTTTTTTAAATCTTTGAAGAATACTACCCTGTTATGGGCAGTAGATGTCCCCTCAGTCTGGGTTGGTCTGGTATTTTCTCATGATTAAGTTCAGATTATATATCTTTAGCTACCATAAAAGTGATGATAACGTCCTTCTTGATATCACATGCAAAAGATACTGTTTTCATTTGGTGGCTTTTAGAAAGAATGACAGCTAACACTTCTTGCAGTAAACCCATGTGTCAGGCACTGCGTACATGCCCATAGTCTTAACCAATAAATAAATATTGCCTGCTGAAAGTCATCTAGAAAGCATATAGCAAAATCTTGACTCTACATTTTAACTCCACTGTGTCTTTATGTTGTTGCTGTTGGCAGAAATGACATCTTCCCCTTGTCTCTTAGAGAGCAGTCCTGAATCTCCAGTGACCATTACAGAGCCCTACCGGACCCTGTCAGGGCACACAGCCAAGATTACCAGTGTGGCATGGAGCCCACATCATGATGGAAGGCTGGTATCTGCTTCCTACGATGGTACAGCTCAGGTACTATTGTGTCCTTGATTCTGTAGGTTCTTCACTATGTATTCTAACTGGAACTCTTTCCTCTTTTCCCCCAGTTGTGTACATTCTTTCCCTGGCCATTATCTTCTATGGAAAGGGGTATTCTGAGCTCTAGAAGGCATTTTAATTCATCCCACATATCTGGGCCTCTGGCAGGCTAAGATTGGGTTTTTAAGTTTTGTTTTTGTTTTTATTTTTGTTTGACTTAGATGAAAGGGAAGGTATTGATAGGAACTAGCTAAATTCTAATGTTTTTTAACATTTCATTCTTACTGTCATATGATGGACTAAATTGATGTGAGAAGTACTCGCTCCTGTTTTAAACACAGAAACAATAGCTATAAATCATGAACAGTTTTTAATAATAAATTGGTGAGTCGAAAATCTTCAAGTTGGAAAAAATAAAGATGAGATGCCAAGCCAGAGCTATGAGGTAGGACTTTCAGATACGAGAACCAGAACAGACATGAGGAACTGGAGAGCTAACCTCTGATGGATGTCCATCTCAGTGCTGAGTTGTAATTGAGCTATCTGCACAAAGCTAGGAACCAGGAAGGGCTGCCCTCTGTGAAATGGAGACAGGAGTAATTCAAGAAACAGTAAGGAAATTGATAATTTCACAGAGATGGGGACAAAAAAAATCACCTGTGAGAAATCAGAATCCTACGCATGCACTACACATGCAGGTGTAGGCTCTAAATTAAAATTCGCTTCATGATGTCAGAATCCCCAGCCCAAAAAGCATAGAATACTGGTTTAGTACAGTGAAATCCATAGGGTACCATTAGAAGCTCGCTCAGAATCATCCCCATAAGAAAGTCTCTACATCCCAGAGTACATAAGCCACCTACAGGAAATAACATTTCTAAAATTTGAACTCCTAAGAGAAAATAATAAATCATAAAGGGAAATAAGAGTACACAGATTTTTTTTTTAAATCTTTTTAAACTTATATTCCCCCAAAGCAATAGATTAACCAGAAATTATCTATGCTATCATGTGACTTTTGGTTTTAGGTGTGGGATACTCTCCGAGAAGAGCCTCTTTGCAATTTCCGAGGACATCGAGGTCGACTTCTTTGTGTGGCATGGTCCCCACTGGATCCAGACTGCATCTACTCAGGGGCAGATGACTTCTGTGTGTACAAATGGCTCACTTCCATGCAAGAACATTCCCGGCCTCCTCAAGGTCAGTCAGAACCAGGAGCCCATAAATGCTTCCCTAATTCCCTTACTCCCTTCCTCAGTAATTGAGCTGATCAAGGTCAAGAAAAGAGGACATTCAGGTAGGGTGGCAGTGCCACTATGGCATGGGCTGCCTTCCTGATGAAGGAAGGCAGCCATGAGGACAGCATACAAATAGTAACGAGTACACCTAACACCCAGATCTTCGTTTCTGTATATCATTTTCTGTGCAAAGAGACCAACCAGGGCTTCTTAGAGAAATGGCTAATTCCATGTTGGGACAGGAAAAATATGAGAGGGCCTGGAACATCATCTGGTGCCACAAAGGAAGGAAGTGCTCAAAGAACTGAGATCTATCAAGAGGACAAAGAAGCCAGCTCGGAGGGGCTCCCACTAACCAAATCTGGGACAGTCTGAACTTGAAAATAATGAACAGGAGAATTCCATTTCTGGCAGTCAAAGATTTAAGTTGCCAGCTTGCCCACCTGCCATAAACAGCTAGAAAACTAGACAGGGGGCACCTGGGTGGCTTAGTTGGTTAAGCGTCTACCTTTGGCCCAGGTCATGATCCCGGGGTCCTGGGATCAAGCCCTACATTGGGCTCCCTGCTCAGCAAGGAGCCTGCTTCTCTCTCTGCTGCTCCCCCTGCTTGTTCTCTCCCTATCTCTCTCTCTCCCTCTCTCTCTCTGTCAAATAAATAAATAAAATCTTTTAAAAAAAACTAGACAGAATAATATACAAGTAAAAATGATCCAAATAAATGGAAGGATATATCTACATAAAAAATTTGTAAAAGAATGCTCATAGCAGCTTTATCTGTAATCACCACAAACTGAAAACAACCCACAAGTTCGTCAGCTGGTAAATAAACTGTGGTATATCCCTACAGTGGAATTCTACTCAGCAATAAAAAGAAAGTAACTACAGATCATCACAACAAAATGGATGAATCCCCAGAAATGTTTCACTGAGCAGAAGATGCTGGGCACAAAAGACTATACGTGCTGTATAATTCTAATGTACAGTAGGGAATACAAGTATATATAACATGAAATTCTAAAACAGGCAAAATTATAGTGACAGCACATGAGTGACTGCCTGGGACTCAGGAAGTGCACCTTGCTGCAAAGAGGCAGGAGGGATGTTTTGAGATAATGGAAATATTTTATATTTTATTTGTGGTGGTGAGTTACATGATTATACATCATGCATAATCAACTCATCAGAGTATTAAAAAGTGGGTATATTATGTTAAACTATACCTCAATAAAGATGATTTTAAAACAGCAAAGGATAAATGCCTTAAAACTTAGAAAGTAGGGGCGCCTGGGTGGCTCAGCTGGTTGAGCGTCTGCCTTCCACTCAGGTCCTGATCCCATGGTCCTGGGATCGAGCCCTTTGTCTTCAGGCTCCCTGCTCAGGGAGAAGCCTGCTTCTCCCTCTGCCCCTCCCTCCTGCTCATGTGCTCTCTCTCTCTCAGAGAAACAAATAAAATCTTAAAAAAAAAAAAAGTTAGAAAGTAAATAGGTAGTAACGGATTAAAACAAAATAGGAATCCATGAATCCATATTGAAAAAAAAGTGAAGGTCTAAATAAATGGGGAGAGACAAGAGCTCTTGTTCATAATAGAAAGCCAACTAATAAATGTAGAATGAATGATGGAATCAGAAAATTACCATTCAGCAATCATCACAGTAACAGTTTGTGGTCAAGAAACATCAATGGATACTAAAACTAGTGGACACAAATACTTAGTTTAGTAATTACAAAGGAAAAACAATTTTTCAGGGAGAAACCTGCAAGACACCCCCTTACTCAAGTGATCAAAGTAAACAACCAAATAATGAGACAAATAGAAACTTTGTGCTACCTCGAATGTTGTATTGATAGCATCACTCCTATGTATGCCAGTCCAAAATGCAAAACCTAAATTTATTCATGACAACATCAGGCGGTGGGGAAAATCAACAAAGTAACTGTCCTGTAATCTTTACAAGTTTCAAGTCCTGAAAGGTTAAAGGAAAACAAGCTTGTCTCAGGCTGAAGGAAACTAGAGAGACATAACAAACAAGTCCATCATGTAATCCTGGATTGTTTCCTTTTGCTATAAAAGACATTCTCGGTACATTTGGCAGAACTTGAATAAAGTATGTAGAGTAGACAGTAGTAATGTATTGATATTAATTTCCTGATTTTAATGGCTGTGCTGTAGTAATGTAGGAAAATGTCCCTCTGTGTAGAATATATACTATAAGTATTCAAGGATAATTGGGCATCATATTCATGATTTAATGAAATCCTACAAGGGTTTGGTTAACATGTTGATAATACAACTCTAAAAATTCATTGGGAAGGAAGGGAAATGGTGAGAATGCTATCAAAAAGAATGATGTTTGGAGATTCTCTCCTAGAGTGCTTTTAACCAAGAACATATATTTTAGTCTTTGGCCATCCCACCCTGAACACACCCGATCTCGTCTGATCTTGGAAGCTAAGCAGGGTCGGGCCTGGTTGGTACTTGGATGGGAGAATATATATATTAGTCTGTCCTTGTCTTAACTATGATTCCTCTAGGTAAGAAAAGTATTGAATTAGAGAAAAAAAGGCTCTCTCAACCTAAGCCAAAGCCCAAAAAGAAGAAAAAGCCCACCTCGAGAGCTCCTGTAAAGCAGGAAGGATATGATGGAAATGAAGACGAGAGCATCAGGGAGAGCTCGGGACCTGTTGAGAATGGCGTGTCGGACCAGGAGGGTGAGGAGGAAGCCCGGGAGCCAGAGTTCCCCAGTGGCATTGTCTCAGTGGGTATGTGGCCAAATCCTGTGTTTCCCAGACTCTAGGAGTTGGTAGGCTGGTCAAACTAAGCCAGGTCCTTACTCAGTTCTAAACTTCTCTGCCTCTGACCTACTTATTGTCCCATCCCTTTAACTTAGGTTGTATCTTTGGTGCTGTCAGAAACTGCATTCGTTTCTTAAAAGGTTGTTTTAAGCCTCTAAACCTCTTGGACGTGTTCAAGGGGATCTGGTGGAAGCCTGGGATGGAAACAGTGAAGGTCTTTAGAGAACACTTCTTACCAACTTGGGCAGGATAAGACTACAGGAATTAAAATGGCCAAAATCTGTGGTATAAACACATCCAGACCCTTTCCATACCAAGGGATGGCTGTTGGACACATAGTTGAGGAAAATAAAGAGTTAAAAGTTTAATGATTTATTTTTTTTTAGGCTTATCCAAATACCTCTTTATCACAAAATGGTTGAACAAAATGTCCTTTACCCCTATAGATCAACAGCTGGGCTTTTTTTTTTAAAGTTCAGTGTGTACTCAGGATTGTGACTTCATATCACATACCCTTAATATTCTCTATTGTAATTAAACATGTAATTAGTGCTTTGTCATCTAAATATGTAAGAAGTCTTTTGCCATCTGAGCAGTTTCAGAACTCCTGGGCCTGTGGTATAAAATTGTGGGGCTAGAAACAACTTCTCCTTAGACCAATTAGAGTTCCTGGAATACAGATGGTTTGTGAGGTGAGAAAAGGAAGACTACCCATGCTTCTTTTCCAAAGTATTTTATCTCCTATTATGGAATACATAAAATCATACTATTAAGCCTGGTATAGTTCTTAATTATTAAAAAGAACTAGATTCTGCATTGTTGTTCTCCAAACTTTTTTTCTTTATCCCCCATGATGTAGCTTCTAGAGAACCAGTTACCTGCACTCCGGTTTCGTTAGGCTTTGAAAAGTCAAAGGTCACTGTTAACAACAAAGTCACTTTACTGAAGAAGGAGCCACCTAAAGAGAAGCCAGGTTGGTGTCTAATGATTAAAATATTTTGTGAAAGCATCCTCAAATATTACATGCAACTGAAAACTCCATAAACTGTGGTTTTTATTGTTGTTGGTTTTTTGTTGGGGTTTTTGTTTGTTTTTTAGGTTTTAAATATTTGTTTGTTGTTTTGATTGTTTCAGTTTTGGGTCATTTTTTAAACAGTTTTAACACTTAAACAATTTAAACTTTTTTTTAATGTTTTAATGACGAAGGGTCATTTTGCAGCTGTTGGGAAGTAGGAACTTTTCTGATGCCCAACAGTATCCTTTCAATAGGTTACAGTCACACAATGGCCATCCAGTTTTGTGATTCTGATCAGCTTTTCTTCAGACAGTCTGTATTTTTATTACATTTCAGAATCCTTAACCAAGAAGCGAAAAGCTCGTTCCATGCTTCCACTGACTACCAGCCTGGACCACAGGTCCAAGGAGGAGCTTCATCAGGACTGTTTGGTATTAGCAACTGCAAAACACTCCAAAGGTACAAAAACAGACTTCCTTGGCCCATCCATAGTCTTCTGGGAACTAGCACATAAGAGATGCTTGTATATGTGTTGAATGAATGCACAAACAAATGTCTAAAATTATTTGTATTTCTACATTCTCTTCCAGGCTTCCCTCCCTGCCCCCCCCCCGCCCCCACCAACCCCAAAGCCAAGCTCCCCATTCTGATTCACTGTCAGCACTGCCCAGTGACTTTGAGATGCAGTGCTCTGATTTATTGTTATAAATTGAGTTGTTACCAGCCATCTATGTGCCAGAATTGGTGTGATGGCTTAAATAGCTTAGCATGAATCAACTCCTTCAACTATCGTTTCCCTGGGACATAGTACCTTCATGTAGAAAAAAAAAACGTGCTTATTGGAAATATACCCATAATATGGCAGTTCCTTTTTTAGAATTTTGGTGGAAGTTTTTGTTTTAGAAGGTTTTTTATTTTACTTTTGCAAAGTCCTTATTCAGTATCTATTATTTTGATATTTGAGCAACTATATATTTTTTTAATTTTGAATTTTACATGTTAAAACGGGATACATATGATAAATGATACTCAAAGATTCAAAAAGAATGTAAATCTTTTTTATATTCCCACCCTGATACCTATTCCTTCCATTTCCCCTCAGGCCACACTATTGCCAGTTTCTTGTTTCTCTCCATAAATATTTTATGCTCTTCTTATATACATAGCCCTCTTTCGGGGACTTTTTGATGACTTCCTATAACTTATACACCTAATCATATAGTTTTACATTATTAACCTTACTGGAAAATTGCTCACATGACTTTTTTAAAAACAGAATGAATATTGAATCCCTCTGTGACAGATCCTAGTGAATGTTAAGGACATTTCTTGTTAGTTTTTTTGTTTTGTTTTTCACTGCATTTAAAATACATGTAGAGGGGCGCCTGGGTGGCTCAGTCGCTAAGCATCTGCCTTCAGCTCAGGTCATGATCCCAGGGTCCTGGGACCAAGCCCCGCATCAGGTTCCCTGCTCCGCGAGAGGCCTGCTTCTCCCTCTCCCTCTCCCACTCCCCCTGCTTATGTTCCCTCTCTCGCTGTGTCTCTGTCAAATAAATAAAATCTTTTTTAAAAATAAATAAATAAAATAAAATACATGTTGAATTTGGGGCTGGCTTTATATTCCCTTTTTCTTCCCCCCAAATCTTTATTTGAGCAAACTGCAAACTAAATTGTCTCACTGGATTTTGCCAAGGCCGAGCTTAACAAACTCAAAGTATTCTCATATTTTGTTACCCTTGTAACCAGCAGGGGTCTCTGTTAGCGTAAATAAGAGCACAAGACTCTTCTTTTCACTGTTGAAAAGGATGTTCTGGACATACATTTGGAAAATTGGACAGAAAATAGTAACCTCGTTTTCTTTTTGAATTAGCAGAGCTAAATGAGGAGGTGTGTACTGATCTTGAGGAAAGATTTCATCTGGGGCTTTTCACAGACCGGGCTGCCCTGTACAGAATGATTGAGGTTGAAGGTGAGGCAAGTCCAGTCAACGTAACCCAGCCTATCTTTATGCTTCCCTAACACCTCTACCTCCTTTATGGATGCCATCCTGTGGCATCATAATGGCTCATTTTACATGTCAACTAACTAGGTTTTGAGCTCCATGATCTGCATATTCGCAAACACCCCTTGCATCGGTCCTAGGACCCTGAACATACAGTGTTCACTGTGAGTGTAAGTGAAAGAGAGTGGGTGGACAAGCGACTAAGTGGGCTTCATACCACGTTATGAACACTCTGGGAGATGACTCTCCCTTCAGCCAGCAACAGCATATTCTAGGAGTTTGTTCCTCTCTTTCATCCGGCCTTTCTTATTGTGGAAGTCTGTGTAGACAGAGGTTTCTGAAACATCTTCCCAACATTCTCTCTCCTCCGAACAGGAAAAGGTCACTTGGAAAATGGCCACCCCGAGTTATTTCACCAGCTCATGCTTTGGAAGGGAGATCTAAAAGGTGTTCTTCAGACGGCAGCAGAAAGAGGGGAGCTGACAGACAGTCTGGTGGCTATGGCGCCAGTTGGTATGTCTTTCAACAAAAGTGCTATCACCTGGAGGATAAGTCCACTAAAGGTGGACACTCTCATAGTGCCTGGGGGGCTCACTCAGTCTGTTAAGTGTCTGCCTTCAGCTCATGTCATGATCCTGGGGTCCTGGGATGGAGCCCCGCGTCAGGCTCCCCACTCCACTGGGAGTCTGCTTCTCCTCTGCCTCTGCCCAACCCCCCCTCCCCCCCCCGCCCCGCCCTGTCCCCTGGCTCGTGCTCTCTCACACGCATTCTCTCTCAAATAAAATCTTTTAAAAAGATGGACCCTCTCTCGCAGGACAGTTTGGCCATGTCTAACAACCTTAACACAGCAATTCTAAGTGTTGAGAATTAACTGTACTCACACATGCAAAATGACAAGTGTACGTGGACTGTCATTACAGCAGTATTTGTAATAGCAAAAGATCACAAGAACCTCTCTGTCCATCAGGAAGAGGCTGGTGACATCTTGTACCTCTAGACAGTAGAAGCTCCTATGAAAGAATGAAGCAGCTCTGTGCATTCTAATATGGAATAGAGCTCCAAAGTGTAGTAAGTGAGAAGAATCAAGGTATAGATGCACAGCAGTACTTACTAGTCTGTCATTTATACTTAAGTGTGTCTTCATAGACTTTTTCAAAAAGGTTTCAAAAAACTAATAATAATGGTTTTCTCCAGGGAAAGGAATTTGGACAAGTTTGGGTGGATAGATGCCAGGATAAAAAGGAAAGCTTTTATGCCATGCCCAGTTTTTTAACTGTATTTAAGTATACTATATATAGAGAGAGGGAGAGAGAAGTACACAGGCCATTGTCGAGACTGACAAGGAATTTCACCAGCCTGAATACACCCCTGTAACCGGCCCCCATATCAAGAAGTGTAACACTACCAGCACCCTGGAAGCTTCTCTCATGCTGCTTTTCATTCAGTCTCCACACACCCCAACAAGGGTAATCACTGTCCTGACATCCATACTCTTTTGTACCTTTTGAATTTTGCACTATTTTGTATGTGTTACATAACCAAAGAAAAAAACTGATGTTTTAAAATGTGGGTATAGGGAGAGTAGATGAAGCAGATGATCTGTAATGGCAGCTGAATTAGTATCTAAATGTTATACTTAATGCAGTGACTAAAACCAAGGCATTTTTAACCCAAATGTATGTATGTGCTAATTTTTTTTTCTTAAACCTGCTTCTTATTCAACCACCACCTTTTCTTTTTTTTTTTTTAATAGCTGGCTACCATGTGTGGCTGTGGGCCGTGGAAGCTTTTGCCAAACAGCTGTGTTTTCAAGATCAGTATGTCAAGGCTGCCTCTCACCTCCTTTCTATCCACAAAGTGTATGAAGCTGTAGAGCTGCTCAAGTCAAACCATTTCTACAGGTTTGTATGACCCTACAATTGAACCAATAGTTGAACATAATGTGAAATTCATCTGTTAAACAGCTCGGCTTACTGACAACCAGCACAAACCTCTGTTATAATTAAACATCTCAAACATACAGAAATATACGTATACTAGCTTAACAAACATCAGAGCACCCACTACCTGTACTTAACAAATATTAATTTTTGTCAGTGTTTGCCGCTGATCTTTTTCAGAACTTCTTTATCCCTAAAGTAACACAAATAGAGAAAACGGTATAAGACAGACAGGATCTTGCCAACCACCCCAAAAGCTCCCCGTGCCCCCAGTTTTGTTTTGTTTTAAGTATAACATTCCAGATTTGGTTGAATTGCCTTTCTCCAATTCTGTCCTCATCCCTTCTCTAGAAGTAACCACTCTCCTGAGATTGGTATGAATCCTTCCTATCCAAGTTATTACACTTTCACTGTAATATAACATAGTAAGTAGTGACAAACAGAAGGAATGAAGTATTTCTTGTAAACAGCATACAATTTGGTCTTGTTTTTTATCCAGTCTGATGGTTTCTGTCTTTTAATTGGCGTGCATAGGCCATTTACAATTAATGTAAATATTGGTGCGATTAAAATTTACCATCTTGCTATTTATCCCATCTATTATTTGTTCATTTTGTCTTTTCCTGCTTTCTTCTGAATCAATTGAATATTTTCTTATCTCCAATACTGGCTTATTAGCTATACTCCTATTCATTTATTTTATGGTTGCTTTAGGGCTTGTGATGATTAGCATTTTTAATTTATCACAGTTTACTTTCAAATAATATTGTATTACTTCTTTCAGACAATATATTTCTTTCCTTCCTACCTGTCCTTCCTGCTGTTGTCATATATTTGACATGTTATAGCCCCAGATTACACTATTAGAATTTTTGCTTTAACCTGCCATCTTTCTAAATAATTTTTTATTAATTTTAAAATATTTTTTTAATATTTGCCCACATACATATTTCCAGCATTTTTCATTCTCTTATATAGGTCCAAGGCTCTAATTGCTATCAACTCCTTCTTCACCTGAACAAGATCTTCACGTCTTGTAGTGTGATTCTTCTGGCAACCAATTCCATCAACTTTTGTCTGTCATTTATAAAGCCTATAATTTTGCTTTCATTTTAAAGGATCTTTCTCTGGCAGTTTTTGTCTTTCAGGGCGTCAAAGATGACATTCCTTTCTCTTACATTGTTTTTGACTTGACTACTGCATTTAATCTCATCTTTATTATGTAAGAACTATGTCATTTTTCTCTTACTATTTTTAGGACTTTCTCCCATCACTGATTTTCAGCCATTTGATGTGATGGCTTTGAGGGGACTTTCTTTTTCTTTATTCTGTTTTGGTCTGTCTTCCTTTAGAGAGTGTGGAACTCTGTTTTAGAGAGCATTAAAGTTGCTATGGATCTAGGGCGCCTGGGTGGCTCAGTAAGTTAAGTGGCTGACTTCGGCTCAGGTCATGATCCTGGGTTCCTGGGATTGAGCCCCGTGTCAGGGCTCCCTGCTCAGTGGGAAGTCTGCTTCTCCCTCTGCCCCTCCCACAGCTCATGGTTGCTTGCTCACTTGCTCTCTCAAATAAATAAAATCTTTAAAAAGTTGCTATGGATCAGCTTGATCTTTTCATAGCTTGTGTTTAGGCTTTCTTAGGACAAGTTTAAAGAAATCTATACTCTAGAATTAGTTGGCCCTTCTACCTTCTGAATGCCTTGTGTATTCAACAAATCAACTCACATGTCTGGCTGGTCAAAACACAAAAGTCCCCCAGGCCCCTGAGTGAGCTCTGGGAGATACTCAGCTTACAGTTCCCTGATTGTTCTTTGTCCAGCCTTAAAGAGTTTCATACACATGTATGGTTTAGCCAAAGACTCCATGGGATTCCCCACACAGAGTTCTGTAGATCCTTCTCTGGACAGCTTCTTCCTTCCTATCATCCTGGCCCTTAGATTCCAATTGCTTTGTCTCTCCACTCAGTGAGACTGCTGAGGCTCTGCTGGGGTTCCCTGTAAGAAGATGCCTGCAGGGGGGCCCTGACAGGGCTCACATCATTGGTTCCCTTCTCTCCAGGATGACAGTCCTGAGCTGCCTGGTGCCCAGGGTCTGAAAAAATACATATTTTGTCTAGTTTTATGGCAGGAGGGTAAGTCTGGTCACTATTACTCCGTCATGGCTAGAAGTTGATATCTCAAAATACTTCTTAAATGTTGTTCTGCCTAGGTCAATTTAATCCAAAATACTTTAATTCCAGCTACAACTTTATGTTGGCTGCAACTAAGAAGTTGTATGTCACTTGGAAAATATTAGTTCACAGAATTATACAGATATTCTAAATGTTAACACATTTCATTATAAAATATCAAAAAAAAAAAAAATCACATTCTTTAATACCACCATCGGTCTCTTCAGAAGAATCTTTAACTTTTGGGAAGCTGTCATGCCCAGAGTAGCAGGCACAAATTTCCTAAAATTCTAGTTTTCACTTGAAAGCTCAAATTTTATCATTGGCAACAATACTGGTGGTTGTTTTCTGTGAAGGGACAGGACTTGGGGACCCCCAGGAATCCAGAGACCACACGTTAAGAACTGCTGACCTAGGTAAAGAATTGAGCTCAGCATGTGGTTTTAACTTCTCACGTAGTACAGGAAAACGTTTTTTTATAGGCTGTTGAACAGTACAAACAATACAAGAGGGACAGTTTGTCATAGCCTTTTCAAATTGGCTAATACCTGTTCTTGCCTCTAGGGAAGCTATTTCAGTTGCCAAGGCCCGACTGCGCCCAGAGGACCCGATCCTGAAGGACCTGTATCTCACCTGGGGAGCCATCCTGGAAAAAGATGGCCATTATGCTGTAGCCGCCAAATGGTAAGCCTGAGGGAACAGGCATGTATCCGAACATAGAAGAGCAGGATAAGAATAATACATTTGGGGGGGACGTAAAGTGAATAGAAAATAAAAAGGCATATGTGTTTTAAACCCGGCTTCATAAGATTCATCAGGACCTACCTCCTTGGTATTTATATGAATCATGGTAACTATTCAGAAAACTTCAGTAGCAGACTCAGGAGGTCCCCCTTTTTCTAGTAATGTCTTTACCATCAAACAAGGAAACTGGAAGGGAATGAAGACTTTGTTTGGGTTCAGTTCAGCAAATGTTGAGGTTCCTTTATGTTCTTACCCTGTATGAGGCTGTCACTCATTATCTGTGTGGCAGTGGAAGGGGGAATAGATCTGTTTATGACACTTTGGGGTTTTCTTTGTATTGCAGCTATTTAGGGGCTGCTTCTGCCTATGACGCAGCCAAAGTTTTGGCCAAGAAGGGAGATGCAGCATCACTTAAGACGGCTGCAGAGTTGGCTTCCATTGTAGGAGAGAATGAGTTGTCCTCTTCCCTGGCTCTCCGATGTGCCCAGGAGCTGCTTTTGGCCAGGAACTGGGTGGGAGCCCAGGAAGCCCTGAAGCTGCATGAAAGTCTAAAGGTCAGTCTGTTACTGTATCTCCTGGTATTTAAGAAGGAAGGGCCCTAAGCCCTTCTCTAGTTGAATTCCAAATGAATAAGCCAGTTGAACGAGCTGTACCAGTTAGGCAGGTACCCTTAGAAGTGTCCAGCAAGCCCTGGCCATACTATCCCATGGAAGTACCTTGGCTTGTCAGTTGCCACATTCAGAGTAAGAGAGAATGTGGTCATTCACAGTCGTTCTCCTTCCTTATCAGTTTGTGTACCACATATATGAGCAGACTTTAGTCAGCTCAGCCCCTAGGCTAGCAGTCTGGTATTTCTTCATTGGTGTCATCAGGTCTTTGAAGAGGGAGAGGAAGAGGGATTAGCCTCTGACAGAAATCATGGTGCTCTGCCATTGCACCCCTCGTTAGCTTTAAGCCATAAAGAAGTGTGGTAAAATCAGTATTTTGTTAAATGTCTATTTATCCCTTTCTGGTTAAAAATGAGTAATTTACCATTGCCTTATTTGACACATCAAAACCAAGATTACTTTTTTTTTTTTTAAGATTTTATTTATTTGACAGAGAGAGACACAGTGAGAGACGGAACACAAGCAGGGGGAGTGGGAGAGGGAGAAGCAGGCTTCCCGCCGAGCAGGGAGGCCAGTGCAGGGCTTGATCCCAGGACCCTGCAGATGCTTAATGACTGAGCCACCCAGGCTCCCCAAAACCGAGATTACTTTTAAAAGCATCAGCATTCTCAGTTTCCAAAACACATAAACATTTGGTCCGTTTTAGACAACTTTGCTGGTCAGATACTAACATGAACTTTGTAAGTTCCTCTTTCCCTAGTAGAGTTACTGGGCCTAAAGACAGTTCCTAGCTAAATATTCATAAGCCAAGAAAAATAGTAGCTTTTGGGCACCTGGGTGGCTCAGTTGTTAAACATTTGCCTTCGGCTCAGGTCATGATCCCGGGGTTCTGGGATCGAGCCCCACATCGGGCTCCCTGCTCTGCGGGAAGCCTGCTTCTCCCTCTCCCACTCCCCCTGCTTGTGTTCCCTCTCTGGCTGTCTCTCTCCCTGTCAAATAAATAAAAATCTTGGGGCGCCTGGGTGCCTCCGTTGGTTAAGCAACTGCCTTCAGCTCAGGTCATGATCCTGGAGTCCCGGAATCGCGTCCCCCATCGGGCTCCCTGTTCGGTGGGGGGCCCGTTTCTCCCTCTGACCCTCCCCCCTCTCATGCTCTCTCTCTCTCCTTCTTGCTCTCAAATAAATAAATAAAATCCTTAAATAAATAAATAAATAAAAATCTTAAAAAAAAAAAGGAAAATAAATACTGCAAAATAAAAATGGAGACAAAAGTAGTACACTCTCAAAGATAGTGTCATTTTGTGTATTAGTTATAAGTGACCAAATCTAGAGAGAGTTTAATTTATCCATAGCAAAAAAAAAAAAAAGTTTCCAAAATGGCTATTTAGCATTTCTTTTTTTTCCTCTTAAACAGCATCCTTATCAAAGCAAGAAAACCTTTAAGCTTATGCTAAATGCTGTTCTGATAATGATCAGGCTATTTTGGCTACGTGGAACAGAGACCTTCTGAAGCTTAACTGAGAAGATATTATTATAAGGGTACACATGAATCTCATGGCAACTGAAAGTCTAGCAAAAAGAAACATTTTCTTCTAGGGCTTCTCTCTGTGCTTCTATTCTCGTCTCTTCCAGCTGACTCCCTTTTAAACTTACTGAGACGTGGTACCTAACATCTGCCCCAGCTCTCAGATCTACACAGCTTATCTGCTGTAGCACCTTCTGCCCATTACACTTTATTTCTGTATCCCTTAATCTAAAGTTTGGGCAGGGGCTAAGAACTGGATGAATCCAGGCCATCTTTCCTCAAACTGGGCCACAAGACTTAGGTGGCTGGCCTGCATGTGGCTTACATTATAGTGGGCAGGGCTCCGTGTTATAAAAATGTTTGCTTGGGCTCCAGGCTACTTCCAGGATCCCTGCAAAGGCATCTGGAAAAATGTCTATTAGATCACATCTTTTCCCCCTCACTCGTGACTCACACTGGCCAGAGGCAGCCCACTAAGGGGTTTGGTTGCTACAGATGTAATGGGGAACACACTGAGAAACTGAGAACTCTCGAGACAGGCACTTGCACTGCATAACAGTTCCTATCCTTTGTGGTTGGGCTCCAGGGGCAGAGACTGGTGTTTTGCCTTCTTGAGCTACTGTCCAAGCACCTGGAGGAAAGGCAGCTTTCAGAGGCCAGAAGCTCTTCCTACAACGCCTGGGCTGCGGGCACTGAAGGGCCCTTCGTGGAGAGGGTGACTGCTGTATGGAAGAGTACCTTCAGCCTGGATAGCCCAGAGCAGTATCAGGCAGCACTGCAGCAACTGCAGAGTATCCAGTACCCATCTGCTACAAACAACACTCCCTCCAAACAGGTACCCTGTCTGCACTCTGTAGTAAGACTTCCTTAATTCGTGTCCACTATAATAATGAAACAAGTTGAATGCCAGTTTGCATTTCAGAAAAGACCAAGGCAGGCCCAGGCAACCTGGAAAGATCCCTCCGGACTAATTAAAGCCTTTTGGCTTTGAAGTTAGTCTTGATCAGTCTTCTCTTTAAAAAAAAAAAAAAAGGAGCAGAAAAAAAGCCTAAAAATACAGAAAAGCATAGAGAAAAATAGAGTACCCGTCAACCAGAATTAACAAATGTTCACATTTTGTCATTTTTGCTTTACTGTGTTTTGGTTTTGTTTTGTATATTCTTCTAGTTTTTAGTAAAAGAAATACAATAAGGTTGAAGTCCCTGGTACTCCATTTCCCTTTCCTAGCTCACCAAAGGCAGCCCCTAAGTCAGGCCATATGTATTCTTTTGTGCCTTCCTTATTTCAGTGAGCAGTTTGTAAAATCTCTCCATATTGATGCAAAGAGATAAAGTTGATTCATTTTAACAGCTATACCCATCCTATAAATAGGTATCAGTTTATCTACTTTTTCTTTTGAAAATGAGGGCATATTATTTTTGAGAAACAAGACTTTCTCAAATGATATATAACACTTTGGGAAACAGTTTGGCAGTTTCTTATAAAGTTAAACATAGACATGCTCAGGAGCCCAACAATCCCACTGCCTAGATATTTCACTAAAAGAAATGAAATCAGGTGTCCACACAAACTTTTACACAAATGTTTGTTGCAGCTTAGTTCACAACAACCAAAAATGAGAACCCAAATGTCCATCAGTTGGTGAATGGATATGCAGACTTTGTTATATCCATACAGTGGAATACTATGCAACACTAAAAAGGACCGAACTAGTGACACAGAAATAGTATCAATGAATCCTGAAACTATTATGATAAGTGAAAGAACGAAGACACAAAAGACTGTATACTCGTGTTTCTATTTATATGAATTCTAGAAAAGACAAAATTTATAGTGACCAAAACTAGATCAGTGGTTGCCAAGGGGTGGGGAGAGGGGATTGCGTACAAAGGGACACACAGGGATATTTTACAATGATGAAAATGTTCTAGGTCTTGATTTTGGTGGTGATTGTAGCATATATATATATACATATACATATACATACATACACAGATATATGTATTTATCAAAACTCATCAAATTGCTCACTGTAATCTTAATTATACTCCAGCTTGGTTGGTTGAATTACAGCTTTTAGTTCCGAAACTCACTTTTTGTTTTAATTAAATACAAATGTCAAGGCATTTTTTTTTTTTTAGCATGAGCAGACTTTAACACCAGACAAGGTATGTTACTGTGCAGCTAGATAGGAAAGTTTCTCGGATAGGGAAGCAAAAATGGGTGGTGGAGATAGGAGAAGCTTTCTTAAACGTCCACGGTCTATACTTCTTCCAAGTGCAGTCAATAGGAATATTTCTGGTATCATCGCAGTGCTTGCTGTGGGAGAATGTTTAAGTGAAACTCTGGCTCCTCCCTCCAGCTTCTGCTTCACATTTGCCATGACCTGACCTTGGCAGTGCTGAGCCAGCAGGTGGCCTGCTGGGACGCGGCTGTGGAAGCCCTGCTTCGAGCTGTGGTCCGGAGCTATGACTCCGGAAACTTCACCATCATGCAGGAAGTGCACTCAGCCTTTCTTCCTGAAGGTAAATGACCGCCCCCCCCCCGCCCCAATCTCTGCTGGGGCATGCCTGCTAACGGATGATATAACCACCACCAGTTGTACAGCACTAGGAGGACATACATCAGTGAAAGATAGAGACCGGCCAGCTATGTCATTTACCACCCAGTTTGAATTCTCTTACCCAGGCTCCTAAGAGGTAGCCAGAATGACTGAGCTGTTTTCCTTTACCTGGCCCTACCTACCTTATCTACCTTACTGCCTTCTATAAATTTTCCTACACAGTTTGAGAGAAATAGCCATGTGCTCACAAGTTAGTTAAGAATGGAAAAGCTCATGGGATGCTTGGCTGGCTCAGTCGGAGGAGCATGCAACTCTTGATCTCAGGATTAGAAGTTTGAGCCCCATGCTGGGTGTAGAGAAACATTTAAAATAAATCAATGAATTAAAAAAAAGAGAGAGAAGCACAGCAGAAAGACATTCTTTGAGCTGCACAGTCACTAAACTAAATCACTGTGATTTTTTTCAGACATAGTGGGATCTTACCTACCAGAGCTTTCATAGGAACATGGAATATTTTTTCTATAATGCTTTGACACATAGAGTACAGCAACAAGAATGCTGCCCTAGGTCAGGAAATGTTTAGCTCTAGTTGGCTTTTGGTGAAGGGCATGTGGTCCCATGGATCACTGCTATCCTTTCTTCTTGAGATCCTCTCCTTGAGTGATAGGAAACATAAGGGGAGGGGCCAGATTTCTAGCAGATAAAGAAACACACAACCCTAAATCATTTTCTTCTCCCCCTAGGCTGTGACCATCTAAGAGACAAACTAGGTGAACATCAGTCCCCTACCACACCAGCTTTCAAAAGTTTGGAGGCCTTTTTTATTTATGGACATCTGTATGAATTCTGGTGGTCTCTCTCCAGGCCTTGCCCCAAATCCAGTGTTTGGGTAAGAGCTGCTCACAGAAGGACAACCTCTGTTGAGCAAAGCCAGCAGATAAACAATGCCAGCCCTGAAGAAACAGACCCCAAAGTTTCTCAGCCAGAGACAAGCAGGCCTCCAGAATTAGATGTGAGACTCACAGAAGAAAGCGAGCAGATGCTGATCACTTGTAAAGAGCTTTTTTCAGAAAAGCACGCCAGTCTCCAAAACTCACAGAGAACTGTTGCTGAAGTCCAAGAGACCTTGGCAGAAATGATCCGCCAACACCAGAAGAGTCAAGTCTGTAAGTCTACAACAAATGGTCCTGATAAGAATGAATCTGAACAGGTGGCAGAAAAGTCCCTGTCTAGTCCTCCGAGCGAGTGGTAAGTAGTGAGTCTGTACAAGGTGGAATTGGACATACCCTGCTGAGTTCTCACTGAGTTCTCACATCTTCATCAGATAAAAATCAGCACATGATGAGCTTGATCATGTCACTTGCCAGCACCATAATATGGTATGCACCGGACTTGGAGTCCAGCATGGGTTCTAATCCTGGCTCTACTGAGTGACCCCAGGCAAGATTCTTAATGTTTCTGAGCTTTTGTTCCCTCATCTGTAATTGGGATAATTGGGAGTACCTACTCCTACCTTGCTTGTTTGGGGAATTAAATGAAATCACAAATAATGTTAATAACAATAGGACAGACAATAAAATAATACCTTTGAGCAAAAAGTAGATTTCCCCCTCCCCAAAAAATTAATCATGTAAAATGGGGAGTTGTATTATTGCATCATTAATGAAAACCACAGTTTTTCAGTTGTTCTGTGCTATCCCAGAAAATAGACAAAAAAATAGTGGTACAAAACTGCATGTTGAATTGAGAAAATCCCAAGTGATCAGAATGCTGTAGCATCCTAATCACTTCTGTTCAACATAGGGTCCAGGTGGATGACAGGAGCCAATCACCAATCACTGTAAAGCTCATCTGCACTATTACAGGGCGCTCTGCCTTGGGCATTTGTGGTGATTAACGATTACTGATTGGTTATTATGCTGAGTGCCTTTTACCTAGATTGTCTCCCAGCACAAGGCTTAAAACATAGTAACTAGTACCATCAATAAACTGATAACTAGTGTCAGTAACTGAAAAAAAAAATTAAGAAGTTTTGAAGCCCTTATATATTTATTGCTGTAAAAATACTCCCATTGGGGAAAAAAAAGACTCCCATTGAAATCTTGAGTCAGAGTTTTGAGTCACTTTTCCAGTAAGCCACCACACTCTAGGCAGCTCTAGGTTTGGTTTTAGTAACAAGAAAAACACTAAAAAGTTCTCTAACCTAGCAGCTCTTAACCTCTGGATCACAGGACTCCTTTGAGAAGCTTAAGACACTCTTCCCAGAAAAAATGTGCGTCCATATACCTACGGTTAGGAGCCCCAGCTATGTCGACTACTCCCAGAGAAATCCAGGCTTTCTGCACTTGGCTGCAAAACTGAATCCCCTCAAGATCCTAAATTTTCATTAGAGCTATGTGTCTGAGAAGTGGGGATTTGGAAAATAGTGAATGGTATTTCATTTTGAAAACTTCGTATCAAATTAAATTCCCTCCTCTTGACCTTTGTATTAAAAATGAGAGATAAGACCCAGATGACAAAAGAATTTTATTTATGGGATAACAGTTAAAAGTTATGTGGGGCAAGGCATATGACTTACGCTCTTTTTATTATTATTACTAGTAAAGAAGAAAAAAATCAGCCACTTTCTCTGCCTGAGTTAACCAAAAGGCTTACGGAGGCAAATGAGAAAATAGCTAAATTTCCTGAGAGTGTTAAGGTAAGATTTATAGCAGTTCATTTGGTAAAACATGATTTTTTTATATTATCTATTGACTATACCAAATTTTTAAGGTCATCTGATTCTTTCTACCAAATCTGTACACATTTGTATATGATTAAAAATTTAGGAGCATGGGTGGCTCAGTCGTTAAGCGTCTGCCTTCGGCTCAGGTCATGATCCCAGAGTCCTGGGATCGAGCCCTGCGTCGGGCTCTCTGCTCAGCGGAAAGCCTGCTTCTCCCTCTCGCACTCCCCCTGCTTGTGTTCCCTCTCTCGCTGTGTCTCTCTCTGTCAAATAAATAAATAAAATCTTAAAAAAAAAAAAAAATTTAGGATCCCATTGTGTCTGGTTAACTAAAATGTTTGTGAGAACGGGATTATTGACATCCCAAGCAATTTTATACCTCATTCTTCAGAGAAATGGAACAAATTTTGGAATTGGGAGGTAAAATAAAATTAAAATTGGTACCATGTATTTGATAGCTTACAGATGGATGGGTATATTTGAATGTGGCCCTGGTATTAAAGGAGAATCATGATTTGAATTAATTGAATAGGGCTCTAGAAAAAGAGTCTTTCATTTGAGAAAGGCTATCCCAGTAGCCATCCCAGTTTTGAGTGTCCTCTATCCTTAGAGTAAATGACAAAGAGCCTTATAAGGGAAATGGCTCAGCCGTGCCTAAGAAGTTTCACTAGATGAGACTTTTGAGTTGCTGGTGCCTCTATGCAGGTATATGTGGCTCTTTTGCAAATGCTTCCTTGTTCATCCCTGTGTCATCTTTCAGACCTGGCCCTTCCCAGATGTGCTGGAGTGCTGCCTTATCCTGCTTCACATCGGGTCCCAGTGTCCTGGCAGCGTGACCCAGGACATGCGGCAACAGGCCCAAGAGCTCCTTCAGAAATACGGCAACACTAAAGTTTACAAAAGATACTGCCAGACCTTCTGCACGTGAATTTTCAAGGACCTTTAAGAAAACTGTGCCAAATTCAAAACGTATGACACCCTTCACCTTGCAGTTACACCATGCCAGACATTCACTCTGATCCCTAGATGTTTTTGCAGTGATCTAAATAATACAAATGAGGGTCAAGTTTGAATTGACTCTATTCTACCCTTAGACATAGTGGAATCAGACTTTGGACTCAACTGTGGTTTCCTACTGGAGGAAGGATCATGAAAAGCCAGCAGTAGATATTCAGAACTAACACCTGCAGGGTGATTGTTGGTCATCTCTAAAGCCTTATGCAGGTTTCACCCAAAGAGGAGAAACTTTTTAACTACCCAAAGTGTTATGTTCTTAAACACAAGCTACCTTTATAAATTCTTCGCCTGATGGTAAACATGTCATTCTTGTTGGAGACAGAATTGCTACATTTTATGACTTGGTATCCTTTTCCTTACTGTTTTTGTTTACTTGGGTTCTCCCCTTCTATTCTTTCAAAGACTTCACTTAGAATGTGAAATAGGCCTTTACCCATCATGTTGACTTTACCATCCATCTGAACTTTAGGTCAAAAATTTGGTTTTATTGTTTCATGTAATTGCTTATTTAAGAACAAATCATTTACTAAAGCATTAGAAGAACAAATAACTAAAACTCAGATGTGTCTTATCCCCTCAGTTTTATAAAACGTAATGGTGATCAAAATAGCTCAGGAAGAAATTACTGTTTCAGTGGCTCTTAATCTTTTTTGGATCACAGGACCCTTTGAGAATTAAAACCACAGATGGTCTTTGAAGAAAAACAAGTAATTCTGTATATGTAACTCTGGATCAGTGGACTCCAACTTCAGCATAATGGGATCCTACATACTATTTAATTGTAAAACCTGTTCATTCTCCCCTTCCCCACCCATTATTGAGCATTCTCTTGAGGTCTTTTCTTCTCTGTGGTTAAATAGTTGAACAATGTCAGGAACAGATGTTTCTGTAATATCCCAGTTGCTAGGGTGTAAAAATCAGATAGATAGTCTGGGGTAGGGTCGGGAGGGATCACTCTTTCCCAATAATATAACTATTTTCTTTTGGGATTCATTGTGAAAACTTTTCTGCTTGAGTGTCCAGTTTACTTTTCAATTATTTCGTAAGTTGGAGTTGTTGTGAGCAGCAAGAATAAAATTCATTAACAGGAACTCTAGGAAGGAAAAAGTTTAAGACATTATTATTTAAAGATCTGACCAGGGGTTTTATTTATTTTAACTAGACCTAGCTTTAGAATTTAAAAATGCTAACCAAAAAAAGCAAATATTGTAGAATTTAGATCCTCATGATTCTTTACACAGTAACTTGAACTTGAGGAAGAAGATGCATTGTTACCAGGGATGGAAAATCTTGGCTGCAAAGATTATACATAGGCATGGCTATGTGGAGAACTAGTTATCAGTTCTACAGTCTTTGCTGAAATGAACAAATGCTTCAACTTGCAGAGATAGAAAAATTATTTATTCCCTTCCACTTAATTAAAGAACAGTATTATTAAACTAGAAATTCTAAACTCCTTCATGATTTATCAGAACCATCATCTGTGCTTGGAGGAATCAATCCTACACACTCCTTGATTACTGCTTTGGTAAGAACAAGAGTTACTACTTGACAACTAAGCAATAAAACTACCCAGAAGGTAACAGAAGTGACACGATTCCATTTCCTCCCAAACTCCTCTCCTCTTTCCCATACTAGATAATGTAGTTAAAGCCATTCCAATATGAATAAATGATTTTCATTTCTATCTCCCTAATTAACAGAACCACAAAGAGCCAAAGCAACAAGGAGTTGACTCAAGCTTTCTAAGTAGGTATCACTAAGCAAATGAAGAGTGTTGGTCCTTTACCCAATCCGAACCCTCTAATACAAACCACCATCTCATTACCCAGATGATTGCTCTCACCTCCCACTGTCTCTCAATCTGCTCTTATTACTGATTCTCTATTCTTCATATACCAATGACAAGTTTAAATTACAAATCAAATCTTACCAATTTCCTGTTTAAAAAAATTATTTCAGTATTTTCCCATTGTTAGTGGAAAAAAGATCATCTTGCAGGGCTTCAAAGGCCCTGCCTGATCCCACCATTTATCTCTTGGCCTCCTGTTCTTAACACTCGCATCCTTGTTTCTAGATCCCACCCGCACTGGTCTCTTAGGCTGCTGGAACCCACCGAGTTTTCTTGTCATCTCAGTAGTTTTGCCCATGTTCTTTCGCCTGGTCCATTCTTACCCATCTCTTAGATCTCAGCTTAAATGTCCCTTCTCAAAAGACCGTCCCTGAACCTCAACCTAAAGGACATCAGTGTCCTGTACTTTACAGCTCACAAATTGTTTTGTGAATTATGTACTCTTTGGCAACACAGATAGATGTAAGCTCCAGTGAGGGTAGAGATTATGTCTTCCATGTGCTGTTTTATCCCTGGCATCTATTTACAGTGTCTAGTATCTAGTAGGTGTATAATGGAAACTTATGAACTGAATAAATTAGGAAACTGAAAGAATATTCATTAATAGCTTAGACTTAAAAGACTCAAACAACTCATTCATACCAGCACTAGCTGACAATTAGGCTTGTACTTGGTAGTCAGCCTTACTAGATTAGAACAGAAATTTAAGAACATTTGGCAATTTATGTGGAGGGGCTTGAATTCACCCATAATTAGCATTCTCTGGTTACTCTCTACAGGACCATCCCTTTCTGAGCATAACCACTCACAAAGCCCTACATGTGTTCATATATACGTATACAAAGCAAAGTTCTTGCCAGTTCTACTAAACTTGTGCCCTTTCTTTAGTAACACTTTATAAACTGTCTCTTACCCCTCCCACTCAACAATAAGTTCCTCAACCCTTCACCTCAACATCTCTCCTGACATAAGTCTCGTCAACTGTGGCAAAGATAAATTCCCTATTTGAATCCAAATTTAGGACATCTGGGGGCACCTTGGTGGCTCAGCTGGTTAAGTGTCTGCCTTCAGCTCAGGTCATGGTCCCAGGGTCCTGGGATCAAGCCCTACCTGCTCAGGGAGTAGTCTGTTTCTCCCTCTGCCCCCACCCCCACTCTTGCACTCTCTCTCTCTCTCTCTCTCAAATAAAATCTTTTTTTTTTTTTTTAAACAGGGGGTATCTTTTTTTTTATAAATTTTTTTTTTTTTAAGATTTTATTTATTTGCGAGAGAGACAATGAGAGACAGAGAGCATGAGAGGGAGGAGGGTCAGAGGGAGAAGCAGACTCCCTGCTGAGCAGGGAGCCTGATGTGGGACTCGATCCCAGGACTCCAGGATCATCACCTGAGCCGAAGGCAGTCGCTTAACCAACGGAGCCACCCAGGCGCCCATAAATAAAATCTTTTAAAAAAATAAATAGGGGAGTGGTCCCAGGACAGAATTAAAACTAGTTTTCCTAGTAAGGGTGAACACTCAGTCGGGGATTATGAAGTGAAGAGACAATTCCATTTACACAGTTGGTCATTAAAAACTTCCTACAGGGATGCCTGGGTGGCTCAGTCGCTTAAGTGTCTGCCTTTGGCTCAGGTCATGATCCCAGGGTCTTGGGATCGAGCCCTGCGTTGGGAATCTGCTTCTCCCTCTCCCGCTGCCCCTGCTTATGGTCTCCTCTCGCTCACACTCTCTCTCAAATAAATAAAATCTTAAAAAAAAAAAAAAAAAACTTCTACAAAGTGAGACATTTTATATCAAGCCAACTTGGGGGATATGGAGACAAGAGTTTGGGGGCAGGTGAGATGCTTCTAGTCACTGACTGCAAATGACTATCTTCTACAGTCAGCAATTAACAACTATGAAAGACCGAACCTTCATGCCAGTGGTTAAAAAGAAATCTTTATTTTACAAAATTAAAAACATAAATAATATTTACAAGCATCTTAAATACCAGCTTATAATACTTGACATTTTCGAATCATTTGAAATTGAGTTTTCCATAAGCTTTTAAAATGCAAGACTATCCATCCACTTCAGTGAGTTACCAGTTTCATTTCCACCATTTCAAAGGGGTTTTTGGTTTTTCTAAATTGTCCATACTGTAGTCATTCAAAAAACAATACAATGTACTTTTTAAATGACCAGTTAAAAAAAACAAAAAACAGTCCTGAGCTTCCTACCCCACTTGTGGGATATTACTCCAAGAGAACTCTAACCAAATTCCTTACTGCCCTGTTTACATGTACCACTATTAACTTCTTAAAGACTCTTCTTAAAGACTCATCACATTCCTGGTACTCACGTAACCAGTCTCCCTAACTTCTCCTCAGGTTTGCTGAAAGGAAAAGCAGGGAAAACAAAGAGACGTGGAAAAACACAGATGACCATCTGAAATCACATTACTGAAAATATAAACTTACGGTCCAAAATTCTGATCTTATTTCATTCAGGAACAAATCCAAGATACTTTATTATATTAAAACTTAAAATGATTTCAAATGATAGACATGTGACAGCAAATCTCGGTGGCACAATGGAACACAGACTTAAAGACACGTAAAGTGGTTAACTTAATACCCATTCTGGAGTTCCTCATGAATAAAGGGTAGACAGATTCAGAAGAATTTTGTTTTTAATAAAAGTTTTCATTATCTGGTCTTCAAAATTTCAGCACTAATTCATTTCCACATAATAGCACATAATTAGAGACTAACAAAATGTGAGGAAAGCAAATGTCCTAGAGAAAGTTCAAAAAAAAAAAGGAAGGGAGGAAAAGACATCTATAACCCACTTTACAAAAACACCATTTTGTTCCACTTTCCCTGGAAGCCCTCAGCTCAGCTGAGAATCACATCAAAAAGTCTTCATCCTCAGAGAGTAGCAAGATTTAAAAGAAAAAGAATGACAACAGATAAAGAGTTATATATATTTTACTAGTCTGTTTCTGACTTGTCCTGGATATTTAAAAAGGTGTCAAATGAGCCATGGATGCTGGTGGCAGGAAGCAACTGGAGAGAGGCTTGGGGATGAGGAATAGGGAAGACTTGTTTACAAATTCAGAGTAAACTCCCCTCTTCTGGATCTAAAATAAAGACGTCGTTTGTTTGTTTGTTTTGTCTTCAACACAACAGAAGTCTTTCTGTCACCGCAGATGGTAGGTACAGTTTGCTCAAAAGAAGCGTTTTCTCTTGGGGAGGAAGGTCAGTACACACAGTCAGCATATAAGCACCACTCTGGGATCAGGCCCGCCCTACAGAGCCTCGCCGCCATCACTGCTGCATGTTGTTGATGATAGCCAGGATGCTCATCTTCTCCTGGGCAGAGTCCACATCCTCATTCTGCTTCTGGGCCACTCCTGTGCCTAGGCCATAGAGCCGCCCACAGTACTTGGCATCATCAATACTGTCCTCAAAAAACAACTGCAGGACAGGACAGAGAACCCATGGTGAGAATCCCGCTAAGAGTCATGCCAAGTCTCAACACTACCACATCAGCACCTCCCAGTTGTCTCAAAGCTCTGCAAATCTACCCAACTAGAAAGTAACTTCATAAAGAAAGGCTCCAAACCTCTCTTCTACATAGTCTTTTCATACTCCTTTTTTAATATACAGGCTCTCCTTTCTGTACAGACTTCTATTCTCCATGAGTTCTTTTACTGCCAGGATCCAGGGCTGCTGCCGCTGTTTAGTATAGCCACCTCCATTTCCTCCCTTCTCTTTAACAAGCAGTGCAGTGCTTAAGAGCTTGGGCTCTACACTCACCATGTGACCTTCAACTCCCCTTGAGCCATGGTTCCCTATCTATAAAACGGGGTAACAGTAGGCTGTTACAAGTGAGATACTGGATATTACACACTTCAGCAGGGTATCTCAACCCTGGCCCTAATGGGCAAGGTAATTCCTTGTTGGGGGGCATGGAGGGGAGCTGTCCAGTGTACCGTAGTACTGTAGAATGTTTAGTGGTATCCCTGGCCAGTAGTGGGCCTCTCCTCTGCTGCTCCAGATTGTGACAACCAAAAATGTCTCCAAACATTGCCAAAGGAACCTAGCGGGAGCATGATGCCACCAGCTTTGTTGTTCTTTCTCAAGAATGCTTCGGCTATTTGGGGTCTTTTGTGGTTCCACACAAATTTTAAGATCATTTGTTCTATTTCTGTGAAAAATGCCACTGTAATTTTGATAGAGATTGCAATGAATCTGTAGACTGCTTTGGACAGTATGGACATTTTAAGAATATTAATTCTTCCAGGGGTGCCTGGGTGGCTCAGTTGGTTAAGCATCTGCCTCCGGCTCAGGTCATGACCCCACGGTTGGGCTCCCTGCTCAGTGGGGAGTTTGCTTCTCCCTCTCCCTCTGCCCCTGTCTCTGCCTCAAATGAATAAAATCTTTTTAAAAAATGAATATTAATTCTTCCAATCCATGAGCACCAAATATCTTTCCATTTATTTGTGACTTCTTCAATTTCTTTCATCAGTGCCTTATAGTTGTCAGGGTACAGGTCTTTTACCTCCTTGGTTAAACTTATTCCTAGGTACTTTATTGTTTTTGATGCAGTTGTAAATGGGATTGTTTCTTAATTTCTTTCTGATAGTTCATTATTAATATATAGAAACACAAGATATTTGTAACTGACTTTGTATCCTGAAATTTTACTGAATTCGTTAATTAGTTCTAAGAGCTCTTTGGTCGACTCCTTAGAGTTTTCTATGTATATCATGCCCTCTGAAAATAGTGAGTTTTACTTCCTCCATTCCAATTTGGATCCCTTGTATTTCTTTTTCTCGCCTAATTACTCTGGCTACGACTTCCAATACTATGTTGAATAAAAGTGGCGAGAGTGGGCATGCTTGTGTTGTTCCTGATCTTAGAGGTAAACTTGCAGCCTGTCATGGAGTATGTTAGCTGCCAGACATTTGAGAATTCACAGAAATTAAGCGTAAAATAAGTGAGTGTTCAGACAAATGTGTTCATATTAGAGAAATCAGAAGAAAAGCAAATCACTGCAAGAATGAGAGCTGCTAAGAACACCAAGTACATGTCTAGACTTGAATATGCTGAGGAGCCTCCATTTTAGGATATCTTTGCTTCCCAAACTACATTTTAATATACTGAACATCATAACAAACAAACAACTGCTTTCAAACTTGTCATCAACTTCTGTCAGAACTACAAATTTTCAACAAATCTCAGCCCACAAAGATAACCCACCTCCTTACCTCTTTCATCCTGAAGAACGCCATTCCTGTCAGCAGCGAGTCTGAGCCTGCCTGGTGTTGCCTTCCAATTCTCTGCAAATCCAACTGATCAGCAACTTCCTGAAGACCGCCCTGCAGATGTAAAGAAAACAAAGATAATATTTCAGACCCACCACTCCTCTACTGGAGTCAACTAAGTCCACTTTTTAGTTTAATTCTTTTGGTGATGACAAGTGGGAACAGGCCATTTACTAAGGCCTTACCCCAGCAATATTCCCTTTCTAGCCCTCCAAACAATACACTGTGTTATATTTCACTTTTCACTCCTTTCTTTTATATATCATTAATTGTGTCAGACCTCTGCCCCGTAAGCCCTAACAGGTATAAAACGAGATTGAGGAAATAAATACCAATCCAATTCTAGACAGAAAATCTCTTATGTCAACAATTTATTAGGGTGCTGAGTTCTTGAACTATCTAGGGTTAGGAACCCCTCTGAGAATCTGGTACACTACAGACCCCATGCATAACAAACTACATATACGCTTCACACTGCCAACTGTTTCACTAGGTTTGTGGGCCTAAGTGAAGAACGCCTCCCTCAGAATAAGAGAAGCAGAAGCCTCCCTTTATGCCTGGATTAAAGACATTTACCACACAAATCCCTGTGCCAATCAGCTCTATATACACCCACTCCAGCATAATGTTGGCACCTAGCAGGCACTGAAGAATACATACATAGCAGTAAATAATAAATAAATACTAATAATTTCTAAAAATAGTGATAAAGCAAAATGACAAGCCTGTTTTGTCTTTTTTTTTTATTGTTAAGAAAAATATTGTGTAGGGGCACCTGGGTGGCTCAGTCGTTAAGCATCTGCCTTCGGCTCAGGTCATGATCCCAGGGTCCTGGGATCGAGCCCCACATCAGGCTCCCTGTTCAGTGG